TCCAGCTAGGGAGGTAAAAATTAGAGTAGGTACCTTTATACGGGGTGTTTGAAAAGTCCCCTCCCCCCCTCTAACTTTTGACCTATTTGAGGTAGAAATTTGAAACTTGGAGGGTGTTCCTAGATCAAAGGGAGCTACTTTCTGACCCCCTCCCAAATTTTGGGGGGCCCCCCTTGGGGGGGGGGGGTTACGGACCCTAACTTTTTTTTTTTCAAATGGGAAGACCCCCTTTGTGATACCTCGTTCAAAAGAGCATAAAAAAAGAAAATTTTTGGCGCAAACCCGAAGTCATTATCTCAAACCGTTTCAAAATGGCGGCCGGTCAAAGTTCAAAATGGCCGAAAATTGGCACTTTCTGCTATTTGCAAATGGATTTGCTTGAAACTCGGTATCTGGGGGTATCTTGGCACGAGAAAAACTAATTTGACGTTAGATTTTTAAAAAAGACCTAATTTCAAAATGGCCGCCGGTTTAGGCTCAAAGTGGCCGAAAATTTGACAAACTCGATTTTTTGCCAATGGATCCACCTGAAATTCGGTATCTGGGGGTATTTTGACCCGAGAAGAACGAATTCGACGTTAGATTTTTAAACAAACCCTAATTTTTGAAAATGACCGCCGATTAAAGTTCAAAATGGTCAACAATTGGCAACCTCGACTTTTTGCCGATGGATCCGCCTGAAACTCGGTGTTTGGGGGTATCTGGGTTTGTCTCCTACCTGGGTAGTAGTTACCTTACTTTTTGACGTAGTCTCCACATCCTCTTTGACATTTCTGGTATCATTACAGCAGCTTCTTGACGCCCTCCGCGTAGAAGTTCTCGCCTCGGCTCCAAAACCAGTCATTGACAGCGATCTGCACTTCCAAATCAGTTGCTTTGCGCAGGGAAATTTTTCCCCAATCCTTCAAACTCTCGTACTTTAGCTTCATGTGACTTTCATTTGTTCCCAAACAGAAAAACTTCCACGATGGTTGCGATTTTCAACCAATTCAGAGGTACAGATCGCTGTCAATGACTGGTTTCAGAGTCATGGCGAAAGCTTCTACGCGGAAGGCATCAAGAAGCTGCTATGATGATACCAAAAACGTCAAAAAAGATGTGGGGCAACGTCAAAAAGTAACGTAAGGCCTACTCAATGAAAACTTTAAAATTCCTTGTTGATGTGATGTATAGATGCGATAACCCGAGTCTTCAATAATCGACTCTCCGCGCATCCTGACCCCGGAGGTGGGCGACAGGAGGTTGTCTCAGTAAAATTAAGTGTACTTGCGAACCCCTTGACCGATTTTCAAAAACTTGAGCTTGTTTTAAAGCTTAGAGTATGTCTAATATGTGATTTTTTACCGATCTGATTTATCTCTTTTCGTTCGGAAGATACAAGGTAGGGAACCTCACTTTTTGGATGACCCTCGTAATTGACCCCTTAATCGCCCAAATGTTATATTCTCCAAAAATTGCTCCTGATAGCAAAATTGACGAAGATCCCCGGAAAAAGAGGGTATCCAGGGTAATTGACGCCGAGCTTCCCTGACTTCCTTTCGACCTTCCCTCCTTATCCCCCTGGAGGGGCTATTATTTAAAATTGGTGTTTTCGGGGGTTTCGGGAGGGTGGTTCAGATTTCCGGATTTTCAGGTTCAGAATCGATTAGTATCTTACTTCAGTGCAAAATCAGGAAGAGTCTCTCAATGTTTTTTCATCTTGATTATGAGAATTCAAAATCCTGCGGGAAACCCCGAATTTTAGATGCAGCCCTCACCTATCCCTTCAACCTCCCGAAGGGTCGTCGGGGGAGCTTCGAGACCATGCAATTCAGATTCCTAGGCTTCGTTAACCTTAAATACAATGGCGAGGTGTGAATGATCGATTATCGATATTTTCCCATTCGAGGCTGTGGTAAGGAATCGATTATTAAGGTTGTCGCTGCGAACACCCTGTTCATCAATCCTATTCCATAGGTTTCGATAGCGGATCGATTCATCGATAGATCGCAAAGCCCGCCATGCCACTGCTTGGACACCACTTTTTTCTAGTAAATTTACGTCAACTTTTGGAAGGGACGCCGCTACCCTCTTAGGGGCTTACTTTTGGGTGTTGAATGGGTCAATTCAAGCTGTTGGGAGTCAATTGAGGGTTACATTTGATGTGCTCGTTAATTTCGATGCAATCAATTTGCGATTCGAAAAGGAGCCCTGACTTTTATTATTGACCCCCCCCCCCCTGTTTACTTCCTGAGGAGGGCTAAGGAGGCTTCTGGACCATTAAATTCGGATTTCTTAGGATCGATTTTCCTATCATCTAACCCCGAAGCCCCTGACTTCGTGCTACCTATATTAGCCAAAAGGAAAGCCTAGTACGGATGCTCTTAGACACTCTGTATGTGATAAATCTCTGTTTTTAATTTGTTTTTTGAGTTGTAAAAAATTGCTCTGTTCCGAAGAATCTACGGTATTGTAATTTATCTGTGTGTGAATTTACCTGAAAATTGCTCTCTAATCGGGAGCTGGAATGGAATAACTAAGAAGCGAGCGTCAGGAAATTTTACAATACTTGAATTTTTGCAAGAGCATTTTTGTAAAATTATTTCAACTTCTAAACTACTATATGACTTGTTGATTAGGGACTTTATTCACAAGCCGAGGTAGTACAGGAAACGTCCGGTAGTTTACACCGCACCGTTCGGCAGTGTTGATAACGCCTGAATTTTGAATGCAACTATACGTGCTCAGTTGATGACCGTGTTGCATAATCACGGAAATGCAGGCGCTCCATATTTCCGTTCACGCAAGAGAACATACAAAATCCGACCGCGCCAAGGGCGATTTTTGTAATCGAATAGGAACTGTTCACGAAATTGAACCCTTCCTTCGATCGAGAACGATACAAAATTTACTCAAATAATCTTAACAACAATTAACAACAACAGTGACCAGAACTTCACTATTTTATCACGAAAACAATCTGAGCTTGGAACGAATTGCAGCGCGCTGAGGGCAGAGGAGAGACAGAGGAAATAAAGTGAAGCACATTGAAAAAGAGATTGACATAATTTATTGAATTTTCATCTCTCCATCACCATGAGTTAACTGATATCTTTATGCTTATATACGCGTAACACGATTTTGTGGCCCTAAAGCTGTCAGTAGAAAAATAATACCAAAATCAACGTGATGTGTCAAACATGTCACATTTCTGTTTCTGAAATACTTAATGTAACTAAATCAGCTCCGCTGTCTGACTCAGTGAGAATAATGAAGTTAAGTAAATTTATAATATTTGAATTTACTATTATATTTATATTAAAAGGAAAACTTAACAATTATTATTGAATCAATAACAAAAATGGAAAGTACAATAAGAAAATGTACTTGCTAAATGAATACATTTAAAACAATCATTAGAATTCAATATTCTACAACATAAATATTTACATTGTCTTTATATATGTATATATTTACAAGTACCTGCCTATGGCTTTACTACGTAAAGTCGATTTTTCTTTCAATGAAACTTCTGACGGTATTAACATTTTTGGTTTCAAAGTCATGCCATCTTAGTAGCGGTTGAGATATAAATCTATTTTTAATCACGTTGAAAAAAGAAAAAAAAATCCTCAAGATTCATACCCGATTGTTAGAAAATACCTTTTTAAAACTCCATGAGTTCTCCTTTTACATCACGAAAGTTACCGTTCCAAACCTACCTCAAATTTATCGAGAAGAGAATTTTTACCATGCGAGCATTTTTCTTGGGAAACGGCAAAAAATCAACAATTTTTCAAACATTTTCAGAGATCAGAATGATATTTTACATTATTTTTGACACACTCAGACAATTTTTTAAAGAGTATCACCATTATACCTGTTTGCTCGAGGTCTCAACATTGAGGGTGATATAACCAGAAATAATTCTGACCAAAACCAGCCAAAATTTCAAGGTATTCATTTCGCAAGGAATCACACGCCGACTTTGCCTGCTAAGTATGGGAATCGTCGGTTGCTCAAAAGCTGAAATTTCGTAATTTTGAGACTTTTCCATCCAAATTTGTATCAAATTTATTCGAACAGTTCAGACAAACTGATGATAATATTGAGCCTCGATCCTCTTCGATGCCCTGAATTTTACGCGTGACGCGAAAAATTCAGGGCACCACTCAACAACGGACCGATGACTACCACATTTAGCTCCGCGTATGTAGCGAGTGTTTCCGGAATAACGCTTGCTTGCTTTTATCGTGTAGTTTTTTTCTCTCTCTATTATTTCTGAAAAATGAAAATATTTTTGCTCTGGAGGGAGGGGCAAGCTGACAGAATCAAACTAAAAAGCACTCGGTTTGGCACGAATTTGAAAGACTCTTAAATATTCGAAAACAAGCAAGTGTCAAAAGAACCGGCTTAGACAGGTGTATCTTAGGTTAAAAATTTGGCTTTTTAGAGACCTGATGGAAGAAGGCAGTCCTAGGTG